AAAAACAACCAAACGAAAAGTCTGAACCCATCTGACAGGTGCCCAAGCGAACAGTCTATCCACAAAGTGGGCTAAAGTACAACAATCACAAAACAACTACTAAAATCTGAACGAGATGTAGTTAAGTTGGTCCATCCGCACTAAAGTATGTAGGCGAAGAAGGGCATCGTTAAGGTGGAAAGTGCGCCCCTAGGGAATGGTGGCTCTGAAGGTTTGGTTAGGAAGTTAGCGGGTCGGTTTCTCTTGCGGAAGATGTGCGAGATCCGGTAGCAAACCGATTGAAGTGTGAATCTGATGCACATGAGCATGTGCTGAATCTGCCACAAGCCCAGATGGCTCGAAGTCAAAGGGATGGCGACAGGAGCAGCACCCAGCTCAATCCAAATGTGAGTAAAGATAGATATTGCAATCTGAAGACTGATCTTGAGCATTTGACCTATGCGTCGTAGCTCGATGAGGCCTGAATAGGGGCGTGGAAGGCAGCAATATGAGCTCCGCTGTGATCCCTAATCATGCCCCCGCCTCCGTGCGGCTCTGGTGTGTCGGTCGAAAGAGTCGTCGATGTTCAACTTAATCTAAAAAGGGTCGGGTCTCAACCAAACAACGGCTCTGAGGAGAGGGTGCTGAACATGCGACAATGATGACAGCGGGGCGGTTGTAGTTTGTCTAGTCTCTAAGAGCAAGTCTTTCCATAGTATGAGGAGAGAGTGATGTCGATCAACCTGCAAAACAATGTGAGGGCACTTAAAAGTAATATCTTTATGCTTCGTACTATTCCTCTCTGTCAAGAAGGACAATAAGATCAGACAGGGAATGAGGAAGCCCACGTGTCTAACGTGTGTGTGCCGTGAGAAAAAACTCAGGAGAACAAAGAAATTGTCTGTAGTGGGTAGGGGTATATGAATATATATATATATATATATATATATATATATATGTATGTGGCAAAATGCCCTCACACCCTCCTCGCAACCCCGCTCTTTAAAAACAAGTAGAAAAAAGTCTTATTTTGAAAATCATCGGTCTTGGCACAACAACAACACTGCGAAGGGAAAAAAAACCCTCTCACCTACAACACAGACCAATCGAAATCCAGCGTAGAAGAAAGCACCAAAGGAAGTCAGAGATGGTCGGGGTAAGCAGCTCGGTCCAAATGGCTCCGAAGTGAATGTTGGATCGATCACCCAACCGTACTTCACCCCAACCCCAGGTCGTAAAAAATACACCCAGAAGATGTAAGCCTCCACTCTATCGTCCGAACCGTCTCTCGAGATGGGAATCTGTTGGATCTGCTTTAATAAATCTAATAATTGGTCACTAAAACTCGTTCCAATACCCATCTCCTTCTCTAACCTATCCCTATCTTACGTCTCATTGGTCTACAGGTCCTTCACCGCAGGAAAGGGGAGCGCGTGACCTGCCTAAAGCTCGAGAAGGGCCCTTCACCAAACTACCACTCGTCCGAAAAAGCTGGCTTTACCCTCTCTCAAAGTCCAGAAGATATGCTCCTAGGCACATCTACCTACCCTAGTGAGTCGCCTCCATTGTCTACTATCGTAAGCGGTGGCCGTCACCTTACAGGGATGACAGAATCCACAGGGGCAATACTTGTTGCGAATGTACTGAGCCCAAAATGATTTTTCCTCCCTGAAGCGCCAGTGCATCTTATAAGAGAAAATGGTGACAGCGTTCGATAAGCGGCAAATCTCAAGACCACCATCAGAGAAAGAACGGTAAATAGAGTCTCACTTCATCCACTGAAATTGTCTACCCCTCTGGGAGTCATCTTGTAGGCGAGTGTAGGCTTGATAATTTTTACCAAAAAAAAAATAAATCCCAAATTTTATCCACTTCTCATTTTTTGGTATCTCTAACTTTTTATTTAATTAATTAATTTTGGTACTCATTATTTTACCCGTTAATCATTTAGGTCATTTTCATTAAATTAAAGGCTCAAGCATCCTGAGTCTGAACTGAGTCCGAACGACTTGTTCAAGTTCGTGCTATTAGCTCCCTCCGCCAGCGGGATCTCATGGAGGATGGAGCCTATCTCACTCAACAAAACAAGCTTTCAAGAGAGAAAAATTGACTATAATAAAAGCTGAGTCACAAAACACGTCAAACCTATAAAATCAAATCCATTTTTAATATTTATAATTAAAATATATGAAATAACTATAATTATACCACTAAACCTCCCTCCTAATCTCAGTGTTACATAATAATTCCGACCATAATCTACTATTCACATCTCATAAAAAAACAAAAAAAAATCACCCCAAATTCGCGGCAGCCCTTTTTCTGGTCACTCGAATGTAGCAATAAACGGCAGCAAAAACGGCAGTGACGAGGCCGCCGATAATCACCCCGCCGCCAGCCACCGATCTGTCCGCCGAGTGGTGCCTCTCCGAGTCCGACTCACCGCCGTCCAACACCGTCGGAGCTTCAGCCGCGCCTCCTCGCTCCTCGCCTTCGCCGCCACCGCTCTCCGTCGGCGGACGCGCTATGCTCGTCTCCGATTCCAGGTCGCGGAGCAGTGCTCGAGCCCGAAATATCAACATCTCCGGGCCGGATCTGTCGGCCCGCGCGTGGGGGATGAGGAAGAGAGATGATAAAATGAGGAGTGCGAGCAAGAAATTCCTGCCCATGATGTGTTCGATGAAATGCCAGTTCCAAAGGTAATGGGGTTTTTTTGGGGGAGGCTTTCGTTGTAAATATGTAATAATAATTAACACTTTTGTTGTTTGTGCAGAGGAATGTGGAATTTGTGTCTGAATCTGTGAACACTGAGCTGTGAGACAGCAGAGGCCAGGGATATATATAGCAAGAGGAGGTTAGAAGAGGGGTAGAAAGGTAAACATCGTGTCCAATAAATGGCTTTTGTAGGAAAAAAAGAAAAGAAAGAAAAAAAAAATGTATGGCTTGAATTCAAAGGAAGGTTCACACGTCTTCAATTCATTGCAATTTGCAAGCTGGTGTCCAGTGGCATAGTCGTCATTTCCCAAGGAGTATCTATATATAAATTGCGACTCTTTTTCACACGGTTTATTTATTCGACTGCGGTGGATGCATTAAATGGAAATAATAAATAATATTAATTACGTATAATAAATGAAAATTTTATTTATTTATTATTTATTTTGTATTTGTTTATTAAAAAATGTTACATTGTCAACCTCTAATGTATAACTAGGTTGACAACACAAGTAAAAATATTTTTTTTTTTATGTTTTCACTTGTATTTACACCAAATTTATTTATTTATTTTTATAGTATTTGATTCAAATAAAAATCACTTCTTAATATAAGAACACGATGACAAATTCTAATCACTGAAAACACGCTGCAAATTATTGATGAGTAATTGACTTATAAAAAATATTTTTAATAAAGAAATAAAACTAAAATTTCGCGTTACAGCTCTTCAGTACTAGCACACTTACATAAACACTCAATATCAATGCTATGTTGTTTGTTTACAAGTTGATTGATGAACACATACATATTCAATAATTTATAATTAAAGG